ATTCCATCCATAGGTAGCCTTCCTTAGATTTTTTTGATCATAAGGTATGTTGATGCTCGAAAGTGAACACTTTTAAACTTCTGAAGACGTCAGATGGGGTACACACAGAAGGGCAAGTAGTTGCCGGAGACCAAAACACGAACCTAGTGATTTCGAGACGCAAAAAAGGCCGAGTAATGAAACGCTAATTCCAGTAACCTTTACATCGTTAACAGTCCCCGATTGGCTTAAGCAATGTTCAGCTGGATGTCTAACTTCGTATATTGCAGTGAGTCAAACATAACAACTACTGGCCAGATAACTACAAATGAAATGGGGAAGGGGCGAAGATCAGATCCGTGGTGACGTTTTTACTTGTGCGGTGTTAACAACAGCGGGACAAGTGAAATATACAAAGACCAGGACATAGTAGATTCCCAGACATAAATATGACAACTATTTACAATGACTCACTTGGAGCACGAGACTATGTGCGGCTTCTTGTAGGGAGTACACCATTGATGAAGAGCAAGAGGTTATCTAAGTAGGTGTAGGTGATCGATTCTGAAAAAAAACATGAAAGTAAAACTTTGGACTTGTGCACACACAGAAAATGGTTACTAACAAAGAAAAAAGAGTCTGGAATGGCCATTTCTGGCTTATTAGCCATCATCAGCCAGCCATACTCAACGCCAAGGGTAGCAACCCCTGAGACCCAATCCCACGTTCTGTTGATTAGAAGTTCAACACTCTATCTATCGGGCCACGGCCTCGCTGTCCTACGGATTGTGATCGGGAATATTATCATTGGTGAATGGGCGCTAGTTGAAAAAATCAAAACTCCCAGCTTTATTGTCAGCGCGGGAGGAACACTACCTCAGATACTCAACATATTTTGGCATAAAACGTTTATTCTTGTCATATGTTTGGGGATATTTACAGGAATTTCGAGCAACTAACGATTGTTCAGCGCTGTCGCAATTAGAGCATCTTACCGAAATTTCTCCGCTTCAAACGCACTCCTCCGAATGAGACTGGAAGGCTACTGGGGCGCAAATATAAATTGCAGTTAC